TCCACCAGTGGATTCCCAAGTTGTAACCTTGAAGTTTTGGAGGATTGGAGTTTCATTTTTCAGTTATATATGGAGGGTTTTATTATTATTATTTCTTTCAGCTTTATTCTATCTTTTTTTTTTTTTTTTTGTCATCTATGTTCGCTTTAAAATACTTTAATTGTTTGATATTCCCTCGGATTTGGGCCTGGGCCTGATCAACCCGTGCCTCGGATCCAAGGGGTATCACACCTTTAGCGTAGGACGCTGTTTTTCCCTTTCTTGAACCTGGCGAAGCTTTTTATCATCCTTCTTATCATCTTTAACAGATATCTTGCTTGGGGTGGTTGAGATAGCCATGGAATCTTTAGCAGCGGTCTTTGACGACTTATCGCCCTTCTTCCAGTCTTTCTTATCCTTGCGTGATTCTATAGCCATGGGACTTTTGCCTTCAAGGGATTTCATACTGATCTCCATGTCATTGGCGCGTGTTGCCAATTCTTCAAATGTGTGAGGTTTTATACCTTACAGAATGTAAAGAAGGCCCCAATGCATTCCCTGCATACACATCTCCACAGCAGAGATTTCTGACAATTGGTCCTTGCAGTCAAAACTGAGTGCTCTCCACCGATTAATGTAATCAATTACAGGCTCATCCTTCCATTGCTTCGTGTTAGTTAACTCTATCATACTAACAGTACGACGAGTGCTATAGAACCTGTTCAAGAATTCTCATTCCATTTGGTCCTAACTATCAATTGACTCTGACTTTAGGTCGGTGTACCACTCGAACGCGTTTCCTTTAAAGGAGCGGACAAACTGTTTAACTAGTAAGTCTCCTTCTGTTCCGGCATTGTTACAAGTCTCGACAAAATGGGCAATGTGTTGCTTGGGGTTACCTTTCCCGTCAAATTGCTGAATCTTCAGAGGTTGGTATTCTACATGCATCATCATACTGTCAATTCTCCTTGTATAAGGCTTTGAGTACATAAGAGTGCTCTATGAGACGCCTCCATATTGGGCTCAGATTGTATTCGTTATCATATCTTGGAATTGTGCGACAGATAATGAAAAGACTGAAGAAATATGATTGGTTTGACTAGCTGCCTGTTCTGTCACCGGTGTTTGGTTTTGATTAGCCACCTGTTCTATGACCAGCGTCTGTTTGGGGTCCTCCATGCCAGTACCTTGCACGGTAGAATTAAGATTCTCCGTCGGTATTGCTGTGGAAGATGTAGGATTCCCAGACGGTGGTGGTGTGAAAGTTGCACGATTCCCAGTTGGCGGTGGTGTGGAAGATACAAGATGCCCAGATTGTACTGGTGATTCACCGAAGGTCTGAACTTCCAATTTGTTCATCAGCGTAGCGATTTGTAAGTCTTTTTCTTCAACAGTCTTTGTGAGGTTCTCAATTGCACGAGACATAGTTGCCAGTTGTTCCTCCACTGTGGCAGCTCCAGTCATCATAGCAGTGACCACATCTGAGTATGATAGGCCTTGAGAGTCAGCGTTTCTTCAAGTGATTGAATACTTCGAAGTCTGACGTGGTGACTCTGGGGGTGAACTGACACTAGAGCTAGCATCATGGATGGAATGAGGTGAATCTGGTGGCGGAATCTCCTCTGGAACAACGTCAAGGTTCTTGACATGTTGGGTTTTCACGTTTGCCGGCTTTGCAGGATTGGTTTTCACCAAGTCTTGCTGATGTTTGGATGAAGCCATCACCTGGGACTTGCTACGTGTTACCGGGCCCGCCAAGGTACTTCCATCACTTGATTTGGCCTTCGTGCCACTTTTCATGGTGGCTTTGGCGTCGACCTTTGCGGTAACGATGTTCTTTTGGGCTTTCTTCTCTGTCGGAGTCTTAGGGGAAGCCATAGAATCTAATAGAAAAAAACTTGATGGTAGGACAAAGAGATGAGAGGCAAAGGAGGTCCCACCGGGCGTGCCAGAAATTTGTACACACAAATTTTGTAAGTTTGCAATAGAAACAAAATAGAGAGCAAATAATATAATTTTATTAATTTGAGAAATTGAGGTACAATCCTCTGTAATATTCTTTACAAAAGAAAGAATTGGTCCTCTGATTAAATCTCCTTTTTTTGTTGGTTGGTTGGTTGGATCCAAGGACTGCACAGGCTTGATCTTGAATCACCGTGGAATTTGGATGACGAACGGCACAACTTTAGATGTGCTTATTGTTGATCACTGTGGAATTTGATGAAGACCGGCACGATTTGATGTGCTTGGTGTTCTTCGCCTTTGGGTTTGGTTGTTACGGGTGAGAGCTTTTGTATTTCTCTCTGGAATTCTGGATTTCTGAATTCTGAATTTGTGTACCCTCTTCTTCTTCCTCTAGGCCTCTATTTATAAGCTTCTTGGATTAATAGGATGATGACACGTGTCATCTCCTGATAAGAATAAAATTATAACTGGGCCTGGCCGGTTATATTGTGATAATTATCCTTAAAAATAATTATTCCAAATATATTTTAGTAAGAATAATTATCTTTCCATTTAATCATCTGGGTTGGGCTGATTAAATAATTTAAGTGGACCAAGCTTGGGCCAATTAAACAATTTAATTAAACATTAAACCCATATTGAATGGGTCAATTTGTCAACACCAAAGTCCATTAAATTTTTAGTGTCTACAGACTCGTCGAAGCTCTATACAAGAATCATGAGTCGGTGAGGAGCAGGCCACCGTCGGCACTGAGGTAAATGACGCGTCATCTTCTTCGTTGATTATATATATGTGTATACACAAATTATTGAGAGATAAATATATATATATATATATATATATAGTTTAGAAAGGTAATTTCAATATTCACATGGATCAATATAAAAGTCAAAGGGTAAAAATGTCAATTTATTACCATTGGGGTGTCTTTGATTACTGTATCAAATTTGGGGGTGTCTTTGTCCCAAAATAGGCTAAGTTTTATTTGCCTGTCCTTACCCCAAACCTTGGGAGGTGTCTATGTACTTTTAGAAATAGATAATATATATATATATATATATATATATATATATATATGCATGTATATATAAAAACCCCGTCTAAAAGCTTCCTAAATAAATTCACAAACAACTGAGTGACAGGGACTTCCAAGAAAGGTAGCGCCACTCAATTACATATATATATTTGTTAATAGAGTAAAGTTCCCAATAATATAGCATTTGAATAACAAGAGTATACATTATTTGGTTGACAAGTGGCAAAGCATCAGGATTGCATAGGAAAGTAAATGTATATCCACGTTTTGTTCATTGAATATGAATTTTGCTTTGTAATAATAAAATCATTACCACGTGTCCACACATCGGCAAAGGCTACATGTGTCACACTTTGAATGTGACTTTATTGACACCTCCAAGAAATGTTTAAAAAATAAATAAATAAAAATTTAAAACTCTCTCTCCTGCATCACATAATTAATAATACCATAAAGAAATCTTCCCAGGTCATATACACGTATGATTTTTTTATTTTTTTATTTATTTTTATTTTTATTTTCCTATCTATGGAGTTATTCTATTTATATAATTTTGTATGTTTGTAGTGCAGCATCTATGTTTCTCTGCTATTGTTTACCTAACTCGGTAATTAGGGAAAATATTCCGAACCCACTAACGTTTTACAAACAAACTTGAAACGAACAATAACATTTCTCCAGAGGACTCTATTTACTCATACCCTTGATTGAGAAGTCAATGGGAGTGATTCCTCAAAAGGACACTATTATCCAGATCGGGTCAATCAACTCATTAAAGTATGACACAAGTGTCTTTTCTTTTTTCTATTTATCTTGAGTACTAAATTAGCCATGGAAATGCACTTGATTTGGTCGTATTTTGAGCGAGAAGATTATACTTACTTTTAATCCTAATCTTAGGATTAGTAATTAGGGAAAAGACTCCGAACCTACTAACGTTTTACATGCAAGCTTGAAACAGACAATGGCACTTCTCGAGAAGACACTATTTACTCATATCCATGATAGAGATGTCAATGGGAGTGGTTCTTCAAGATGACACTATTATCCAAATCAGGTCAATCAACTCATTAAAGTATGATACAAGTGTCTTTTCTTTTTTCTATTTATCCTGAGTACTAAATTAGCTGATTTGGTCATATTTTGAGCGAGAAGAGTATACTTACTTTTAATCATAATTTTAGAATTTAATCTTACCGTTAATAGGAATAATAGTTGTTTTAAACTATCATTCTTTAATTTAGTCCTAATTTGTGAAAGGACTATAAAGGGTAGTTTCTTAAAAGGGAAAACAAATTCAATTTTCTTTAATGTGATTGAACCACACCGCCTCCTCCATCAATCATGTAATACCTTATTAACCCTTTTTTTCTATGCGTGTACATAAAGATGAATCAAAAGATCAAAGAAAATCATTAATCCATGTAAAACTTGCACATGTGCAAGAATGATATTAAAAATATGATCAAAAAAGGGAAAGGACCACCGCCACCACAGCACTGCCACTACCACCATCTACACCATCACATCCACCTTTTCCTCCACCTTCAGTGACGGCGCCGACGGCGGTGGAGGAGGTGGTGCGACGGATCGAGGCAACTATGGCAATTCAAAATTAATGAGATTGAAGAAATTGATTCTTTTTTCCTTTAAGAAACTATCCATTTTAGTCATTTTACAAATAATATTCTTTACTAAATGTCTAGTAAATCAGATGTCAACTATTTAGACAAGATTTATAATCAGAAACATATTCCAAAATTAACTCTTTGTATTGTTCCCCGAGTATTCAAGAGGGAGAATTCCTATGAAGCAATCTGTCATTTTACATTTTTAGGAGAGGATTACAAGTAACAATGTGAGAAGAACTCGAAGAAGTAATTGATTGTTATAGTGAATGTGTATGAAGCTCAAGGTAACTAGGTGATCATCAAGCATCGTGGTTAAATAAATAAGCAAATTCAATATATATATATATATATATATATAAAATAAAAAAATAAAAAAAAAGAAGAGAAGTTTGTTTTAAGAATAACCCAAATTAGGAAAATCTCAAAATTATTTTCCAGATGAATTACAACAGATATTGCCAATGGAAATGCCTAAGACCTCAAATTGCAGTTCTGCAGAAAAATGAAAGGATAAAATATCTAACGTTCGGTTGCCACAAGATTCTTGATATTCTGATTTTTTTTTTTTTTTTTTTTAATTTTTTTTTTTTTTTTGTATAACCAAACAAAAAAAAAAAAAAAGAATTATATACAACAGTTTGGACTCAGTATTGTATCTGATCTAAGGGGAAAGTGTGAATGGAAGCTGAATCCATTTGCCAAATCTTGAGTGAAGCTGTGACCTTCAATCCTGTGGCATTGTTAAACAGGAATACCCGCGCTGCCCCATCAATCGCACTTGTTGGATAAACTCTTGATGTGATCACTGATCTCCCTCCTTGGGCAAAGCTCTCCACAATGGAATGATCAACCTGAATCCAATTTCGGGAGAAAATTTGTTGAATGTTCTCTTTTAGTTAAATCCGATTGTGTTGATTATCGAAAACTTTTAGGAGAATTCATGTATAGCATAACAAGTATCAACCCCTTTGGTAAGGAGCCATTTCTGATGCAGAATTTTGATTTAGAAGTACTATATACTCATATAACTTTTATTTACATCTAAATGGATCTAAAACATTTTTTTGCTCTTAATAGTTTCCTTACTATATTTCAAGCTTTAGGCTCCAATTTAACTACATATAAATATATATATGTGTGTGTGTGTGTGTGTGTGGAAATAAAAAGATAATAAGAGATTGTGACATACCAATAACCTCATGGAGAATTTTTCACCATCAAGCACAGGGACTATGCTTCCATAAATACTTCTGTAAACATGGGAAGCCTTGGATGATCTGCATAGACAAACATATGGTGTTATAACTCTGGATTCAAGAAATAGTAACTCCAAAAACACAGACTACTGACTTATATAAGCATGTGCAATTCAAAAATCGGATAACTGGTATAGTAGTAATTTAATTCGAGAGATAATACAGGGGACTAAATGCATAAGATATACATTCAAGTAAAAGAGAAGCATACCTCGTTTCATCAGCACAGAACCAAGTCTTGGCACTCCCATCAGTGTCTTTGGCGATGTGGAAATAAACCGGTGTTAGTTCAGAAAGTGTTTCATCAGCAATAACCAGAAGTCCAAATGGTCCCAAAGCACCCCTTGCAGTGGCACCACCGCTGCAATTGTAGTTCACGTCGGCTTCAGCTGTCGCCTCCAGTGCCTCTTTATCTATTTCAAAGGTGGCACTTATGTCTAGCTGCAACCATTGCCAAACAAGTACATTGTAAGCTAACAATTTTTTCGGGAAATATAAAACAGTAATAATCTGGAAATCTTAGCAAAATAAACGAATGACCTGAGTAGCTGAAGTAATGTTCAGTAGCACAACTGATCCAGGTTCAACCTCAACTTCATTGAATTCGGTGCTGTTCAATCTCAAGCTCTCCACTTCCTCCACAGGCCAGTGAAGTAAATTGGTTCCGGTCTTATTGTCAAACAAAACAGTCCTGGGAATGGCCTGTGAAACACAAGAAGAAATTAATTTTTCTTTATGCTTAATTTTTCTTTTCTTTTCTTACTCACACAGCCAATTTTGTCCTTACTGGAACTTGAACTCTCGTAGGGAGGTAACCAAGTATCACTAGGCTACAAGGCCCCTCCGGTCATTCTTGAGCTCTTTATGGTACTTACTTCTGTTTTGTTGCATATTCAAAATTAGCTTATAATAAAACTAATTGGTATAAGTAAATATATAAATATATATATTATATATACAGGAGATGAAAAGGTGCTAATTTTATTTTATATTTTATTGGTTAAATTGAATATTTTTATTTCACATATTTTAAGTGTTAATAGTTCATTATTATCAATGGGGTCAATAAGCAAAATGGAAGTCTAGTAATACAATGGATAAAATTTTGACCAATTTTAAACTTTTCTTCCTATCACTTCCTCTATTGAAATCATCACCAGTTGTGAAGTGTTTATGATATTCTTCAATGATCCATATATATCAGATGCTATCTAAAAAAAATGTGGGGCCTCTCAGCTTTTTGGGTATTCTTCTTAACACTCATCAATAGCTGAAAATAAATTTAGATCAACTATGAAGAGACATTCAGAGACAATTATTGCTAGACAATAAATCCAATTATTGCTATGTTCTTACTATGTTTTCAGACAATAAATTCAATTATTGCAAAATGACTAGGAAAGAGAAGTTATTAGCTTAAGCCTGAAGGATATAGAATTATCTTGTTTGAAATGGTAGCACCAATAATTAAATACTCCTTTCGTCCCAATTTAATTCTCATTATTGAAAATTGTGACTCACAAATCCCAATGACGACATTTAAATTAAGACGAAGGGAGTATAATAAGAAGATCGGTACGATGATACCTTCTTAAAATAAATAAATAAACTTTTTTTTAATGACAATTAGAATGAGTATTATTACCTGAATAGAGGCCCATCCCTTCAAAAGATCATCAGCTTCACTATCAGTTTCTCCAGTCCAAGCCCACAGGATCCTCCTATCCTTATTTCGGTCATAGAATGTCTTCGATGCATAGTATTTCCCATAATCCACCCGGAACCCAATACCCACATCCAACTCCGGGTTATCGGGTGTCCAAGTACCATTAACCGGATCATATGTCCCAACCGCATAATAATCAATCATGACGCTATCCAAACTCGCCTTCAGCACATGCTTCGTACCCGGTCCATTAGCTGATGTGTCCAAACCATTCTTCCCAGTTATTGAAACCGGGTAGAAGTCCACACATTCCCACATGCCCGTACCCGGAACCGCGTGCAAGACTCCGTCCAAGAGCTCGTAGCTTGTGAAGTTGGTTGTTTGGTACACTAGCGAAATGCCCGTCATGTTAACCTTTGACCCGATCATGACCCGCCAATTCCCATCCGGGCCAAGCCACGCTGTTGTCGGGTCTCTAAAGTCTTTGGGAGAAACACCGGGTGGAGCGCCCAACACCGGGTTACCTGAATACTTCACCCAATTAAGGAGGAGAGGATCAGATAGGTTGGCAGGGTAGGCAAGGTTTTGCACCTGCACATAATCATCGGTGACCCCAGTGTAGAGCATTCTGATCTGACCATCGGGAAGGATCGTGGCAGAACCTGTCCACACACCGTTGCGGTCGAACCAGCTATCTGGGGTCATAGCAAAGGGGAGGTGGAGCCAGTGGATCATGTCCCTTGATACCGCATGGCCCCATGTTATGTTGCCCCAAACCGCAGAATCCGGATTGTACTGGTAGAAAAAGTGGTACCACCCCATGTGGAACAATGGACCTAAAAAACATGCAATTATTCCCCATTTCGTACGTGTAACATGTATTTGTATGTGTGTTTACAGTATTTATAAATTTTAGGTGAATGATTGTGATCCACTCCGTAGATACAAGGAAATAAAATTAAGAAATTTTTACATGATTTGAGATTATATACAATTCAACACATAAAAATTTAAATTAAATTTTTACATTTATTAATGTGTCCGGTTGTGATTTATTTGAATTAATTGTGATTGAATGAGATCATGTAATCCCAGACCATATAATAACTTCTCGAATTAAGCTTTAACAAATAAAACATGGATATGGAGTCACCAATTAGGAAAATTCAGATTGATTTATGTGAATAAGGACTCACATCAACCTATACTCATATAAAATTAGTGAAATTTGTTCTGACTATGAAAGTAAAAACTTTATTGCTCCCATTGCACAAGTTTTCTCTTAGCTTAGACTAACCAATGATCCAATGGATGCGTTTTTGCCCATTTTATGTTTCAAAAGTGAAAGCCACTTTCGCCCCGAAATGCAAGACACACTTGTCAAATTAGGTTAATAAATGCTTTTTGGCATAATTAGATTGGCTAATTATCCCTTAAGTTTAAGTACAGAGTAATGTAAAAACGTACCATTAGGATCTGATGCAGAAATTACCAAGATGCACCACAACAGCAACCATGAAAAATGACCAATTACGAAGATACCCCACAAACGCAACCATGAAAAATGACCCATAAAATTAGATTAGTAAGTAAACCAAAACCATAAGGCATATATTTATGTGTATCAACAAATAATAACGGAGTCACGTGTAATACAAAAATATATATATATATATTGAAAGGTAATAAAGTGTTGTTTACCCACCATTCATCCAATTCTTTTCTGGTTGAAAATGATAGGTTGTTCTTTGCCACGTCAACATAGCATTGGTCCACGGGTACACCTCTCCGACCACCTCTCCGTCGACGGAAAGCAGCCGGAAAGTCTTCTCCGACACTCCCAATGATACCCCTCTCGACGGTGGCCGTTGGAAGGTCTCCGGCGAGGACATCGGAGAAGGTCCATAGGAGTTGACTGTAGCTCGGAGAAGTTGTGATCTTTGGTTTAGGATCAAAACGATCAAAGAGAGAAAACCCAATGCGGAGAGGAAGAAGATACAGGTGAGACCCTTCGTGGGTCGCCGTTGACTAGCCGGAGATCCGGCCGAATCGGGTTGGTCCGGTAGGAGGGTGTAAGAAGTTGCATTCTCCGGATCATCGGGGGTTGAAGTGGTAGTGGTGGTGTGGGTATCCATATATTTTGGTTGATTGAGTTTGTGGTGTTGGACTGGTGGAAGTGTGTCAGAAAAAAGGGGTGGTGGGTCAGATATGGATTTGCCCGGTGGGTGGGGCGGGGTGTGCTAGGCTGGTTGATTGTCCATCTCCGTTGGAAACTTGAGTTTTATCACTATGGTGTAATTAATACACACACATAGAGAGAGCGAGAGAGTGAGAGATTGGGAAACTTTGGATCACGCAAGGGACCGAATATTTTGTTAACATTTTTGTCTTGGCTTCTGCAGAATTTTTTTTTTATAGGGAAAATTCCCTCTTAGTCTTACTTTTCCACTTAATAGACAATCAACTCCTAAAATAATTTATCAGGCAAATAAGTCCAAATTTTATCATTTATTTCCATCCAAGTTCTTAATAAATTATAATACCTTATTTGCCCTTATTAGTATAGAATAGCAACAATGTCTTGGACTCATCACATCTCTCCACACAGAATTGCAAATTGCATTGTGTCGGGACCAAAGCTGCCTCCCGCGGAAACTAAAGCACAAAACTCGTCGTCCGCCGATCATCTCTCTCAACACAAAAATTACAGAGTGCCACGACAAATGTCACCGTTGAAAAATATAAAGTCGCCGTCCAACATAATTCTCACTGCCACCGATCATGCCGTTGCTGCAGATTGATTCGCCCATGGAGATGATCTGCCGTTGTTTCCAAATCCAATCCTCATACCCCGTCGCCGCAAATCGCCGACGCAGTCGATTCGTTCTTCCACAAACACATGGTAGATCGCCGCAGGAATCAACAGACACCATGGTCGCCAGCGAAGAAGAAGGGTGGTCGGAGATTGAAAGGAATGAAAGAGGTAATGTGATGATATAAAATTAGTGTGAGAGATTTGAAACAATTCCTTTAGTTTGTGCATTCTCTCAGAAGAATTTCGTGCTCTGCTTTGCTTTTGATTTCGCTGCAAACTAGTATTTTTGCTTCTTTTTTTTCTGTCAATAAAGTATTTTTGCTTCACAAAGGGGAAAAAAAAAATGGGGAAAGAAATTGGGATCAAACACTGGAAATAAATTGTAAAAGTAAGATTTATTTATCATTTGAAAAAAAAAAATTAGGACTTGATTGTCTTTTAAGTATAAAAGTAGGACTAAAATGGAATTTTTCCAATTCTTTATTAATCTTAGCTGTACGACTTACCTTCTAAAGAAAAGTTGTTCCAAATTCATCTCCTTACCATTTATAATAATAATAATAAAATTATAATACTAATAATAATAAATAATATTCGCACTCACTTTTTTATAAATACACTGCACTAGTATTTTTAATTTATATATATAAGAGTACATTTATGTAGAGATCTCTCAAATTTGGAAAAATCTGACAAATGGTGCGATCAAGAGATTCCAAAAACTCAAATCCATTTAACCATGAAATTTCATTCTTACCGTTTTTTTATTTAAATCCAAATATGAAACTTACCCAAAATAAAAAAATAAAAATTCCCCATATGCTTAGTTTCCTTTTTAATCGGTATTGGAATCCATAATCTTTCCTCGTATCAAATCAAACCCTCACCGTCGTAATTCATCTAATTACGGCAATTTTGAAGGGACCCACTTAATCAGCATCACTCTGATAATAAAAATAAAAATAGAGAAACCATATTTGCGTTATACTTCTTTACATTTTACACTACACCCCCTGAAAGACATGACACTTCTATTCCTGATTTTATAAATAAATAATTATTATTTTTCAAGTACCACAATCAACCTTCTCCCTCTCCCCTCTCTCCTCACAATTGGCTTGTGATATCTTCAAGAAGTCCAAATGGTATTCCTACAATTGGCATATATGATATATGGTGAAATTTTTTTCTATCTTCATTCAATTTAGGCAATTTAGGCGTTGTAAAATAATGTAGCTACTACATATCAATTTTAGAAAGGACAAAGGGAAAAATAAAAATAAATAAATTGCAGTTAATAAAGTGCATATGAAGTATGGAAGAAATAAATGTTAGAGACATTGTCATTGAATTGGAATGTTGAGTCAACGTCTCTTTTTTTTCTTTTTCCTCTCTTATTAGTCTCCACACATTCACGCGATCTTACAATCTTTTTTTACTTAATAATTATTCACCATTTTGTCACTGAGTTTACAAAAATAAATAAATAAATAAATAAATAAAATAAAATACCTATAATTCATTTCTTCCTCTTCTTTATTTATTTATTTTTTTATATTAGTTTTCATAATTACTTATTTAGGTTCATTTTTCTCATATTTAGAACTGTATTTTTTTTTCTCATGCACCGGATTGAACTTTATTTTTAAATTTTTTTTTCGTTCAACCCCTAAATTGTGATTTTTGGCTCTGCTCCTAATTATACAAAAATAAAATAGAAAGAAGAATACAAACAGAGCACATGTGCATCCCAGTGAAATAAAGTGTTGCCTAGTTGTGTTTGAATGCCAACCCATCATCAAGATTAGCAACCACACTAAACGCATTAAAAACTATCACTGGAGATGCAGAAAGTTTTTGACCTGGACTGAACTATATTGAAGGAATAGTAGAAGTTGAAACCCTATCAACAATCAAACCCCTAATATAAAAGAGAGATTTTATTGTTTATAAATTGGGTAGAATGTAATGACCCGGTCATTTTCCTTCCTTTCCTTTTTATCAGATTTTCACGGATATTTTTTTTTCCATTGATCTTTTCCTTTCTGAGTTCAATTTCTCGTCACTTAGTGTCATCTCGGGTACTCTGGAATAACTTCCAAGACTCTTTTCTTTAGATTGACAACTTCCTTTGAGGATCGCGTCATTTCCACATTTTTATTGTTTCGACACTATTCACTTTTCGTCCTTTTCCCTATTTTGTCTTTTCCCCATATGTCACTTTGTTGGCATAACCTCACTTTTTATGTACGGAGTTGGTTTTTGACTTCACGTATCTTCATTCTAAGTGGTTTCCACAAAATACGTATCTTTTCAAGTACCATAATCAACCTTCTCCCTCTCCCCTCTCTCCTCACAATTGGCTTGTGATATCTTCAAGAAGTCCAATTGGTATTCCTACAATTGGCGTATATGATATATGGTGAAATTTTTTTCTATCTTCATTCAATTTAGGCGTTGTAAAATTATGTAGCTACTACATATCAATTTTAGAAAGGAAAAAGGGAAAAATAAAAATAAATAAATTGCAGTTAATAAAGTGCATATGAAGTATGGAAGAAATAAATGTTAGAGACATTGTCATTGAATTGGAATGTTGAGTCAACATCTTTTTTTTTCCTTTTTCCTCTCTTATTAGTCTCCACACATTCACGCGATTTTACAATCTTTTTTTGCTTAATAATTATTCACCATTTTGTCACTGAGTTTACAAAAAAAAATAAATAAATAAATAAAATAAAATACCTATAATTCATTTCTTCCTCTTCTTTATTTATTTATTTTTTTATATTAGTTTTCATAATTACTTATTTAGGTTCATTTTTCTCATATTTAGAACTGTATTTTTTTTTTCTCATGCACCGGATTGAAATTTATTTTTAAATTTTTTTTTCGTTCAACCCCTAAATTGTGATTTTTGGCTTTGCTCCTAATTATACAAAAATAAAATAGAAAGAAGAATACAAACAGAGCACATGTGCATCCCAGTGAAATAAAGTGTTGCCTAGTTGTGTTTGGATGCCAACCCATCATCAAGATTAGCAACCACACTAAACCCATTAAAAACTATCACTGGAGATGCAAAAGGTTTTTGACCTGGACTAAACTATATTGAAGGAATAGTAGAAGTTGAAACCCTATCAACAATCAAACCCCTAATATAAAAGAGAGATTTTCTTGTCTATAAATTGGGTAGAATGTAATGACCCAGTCATTTTCCTTCCTTTTCTTTTTATCAGATTTTCACGGATATTTTTTTTTTTTCATTGATCTTTTCCTTTCTGAGTTCAATTTCTCGTCACTTAGTGTAATCTCGGGTGCTTTGGAATAATTTTCGAGACTCTTTTCTTTGGATTGACAACTTCTTTTGAGGATCGCGTCATTTTCACATTTTTATTTTTTCGACACTATTCACTTTTCGTCCTTTTCCCTATTTTGTCTTTTCCCCGTATGTCACTTTGTTGGCATAAATTCACTTTTTGTGTTCGGAGTTGGTTTTTGACTTCACGTATCTTCATTCTAAGTGGTTTCCACAAAATACGTATCTTTTCAAGTACCACGATCAACCTTCTACCTCTCCCCTCTCTCCTCACAATTGGCTTGTGATATCTTCAAGAAGTCCAATTGGTATTCCTACAATTGGCGTATATGATATATGGTGAAATTTTTTTCTATCTTCGTTCAATTTAGGCGTTGTAAAATTATGTAGCTACTACATATCAATTTTAGAAAGGAAAAAGGGAAAAATAAAAATAAATAAATTGCAGTTAATAAAGTGCATATGAAGTATGGAAGAAATAAATGTTAGAGACATTGTCATTGAATTGGAATGTTGAGTCAACATCTCTTTTTTTTCTTTTTCCTCTCTTATTAGTCTCCACACATTCACGCGATCTTACAATCTTTTTTTGCTTAATAATTATTCACCATTTTGTCACTGAGTTTACAAAAAAAAAAAAATAAATAAATAAAATAAAATACCTATAATTCATTTCTTCCTCTTCTTTATTTATTTATTTTTTTATATTAGTTTTCATAATTACTTATTTAGGTTCATTTTTCTCATATTTAGAACTGTATTTTTTTTTCTCATGCACCGGATTGAACTTTATTTTTAAATTTTTTTTTCGTTCAACCCCTAAATTGTGATTTTTGGCTCTGCTCCTAATTATACAAAAATAAAATAGAAAGAAGAATACAAACAGAGCACATGTGCATCCCAGTGAAATAAAGTGTTGCCTAGTTGTGTTTGGATGCCAACCCATCATCAAGATTAGCAACCACACTAAACGCATTAAAAACTATCACTGGAGATGCAGAAGGTTTTTGACCTGGACTGAACTATATTAAAGGAATAGTAGAAGTTGAAACCCTATCAACAATCAAACCCCTAATATAAAAGAGAGATTTTCTTGTCTATAAATTAGGTAAAATGTAATGACCCGGTCATTTTCCTTCCTTTCCTTTTTATCAGATTTTCACGGATATTTTTTTTTCCATTGATCTTTTCCTTTCTGAGTTCAATTTCTCGTCACTTAGTGTCATCTCGGGTGCTCTGGAATAATTTTCAAGACTCTTTTCTTTGGATTGACAACTTCCTTTGAGGATCGCGTCA